ATCCTGGAGTCCCGGGATCGAGTCCCGCATCGGGCTCCCTGCTTAGCAGGGAGTCTGCTTCTCCCTCTGACCCTCCTCCCTCTCATGCTCTCTGTATCTCATTCTCTCTGTCTCAAATAAATAAATAAAATCTTTAAAAAAAAAAAAATGTACCTCAAAAATAAATCCAAGATATTAAGCATGAATTAATGAGAAGCAGGTTGGGGTCAGAGGCAGATTTAAGGGGTAAAGATAAGGTTGGTCTTAAACAATAGACCTATAAAAAACTTGCACGTTTTAGTAAGCTAGAGGTACCCAGGAAAGGCTAGCATTTGAATAGCCAGGTACTGTACAAAATGGCATAATGAACAGAACACATAGCCAGAGATCAGGAGAGCATACATTCAGTTTGAACTCTGTCTCAGTTGTTCTGTGACTCTACAGATTGTCCCCATACCCCCACATTTCAATCCCCTCATCTTTGAAGTAAAGGACCTAATAAGGGCTACTGTTTATCAAACAAAGATGTGTGAAAATGCCTGTGGTAGAAATTGTTACATGTGTGTTGAAAATAATGATCTATTCTAACTGATAACTTGTTCCATTTGATAAATTTTTTATACCAAAAAGATTTTTAAAAAATAAGTGTAAAATTGCAAATATGTCAAAATTCACCACTTTTGTGAATGATGTGGTCAATCAGTGTTAACATTTGATTCTAAAATTCTAAAATGGGCGCGCCTGGGTGGCTCAGTCGTTCAGTGTCTGCCTTCAGCTCAGGTCATGATCCTAGGGTCCTGGGATCGAGCCCCACATCAGGCTCCCTGCTCGGCAGGAGGCCTGCTTCTCCCTCTCCCACTCCCCCTGCTTGCGTTCCCTCTCTCGCTGTGTCTCTCTCTGTCAAATAAATAAAATATTTAAAATAAATAAATAAAATTCTAAAATGACTATTACAAAATAGTTTTTGGCTGTTTTAAAAATGTTTTTTCCAGTTTTAATGCTAACTCCTTTCAATTTTGATTTTTCACATTCCCTAGTACTCCCAATTTGGAAAAACAACCAAGTGAAAATGGAGTATCTGTTCAGAATGAAAATTTCGAGGAAATTATAAACTTACCCATTGGATCTAAACCATCCAGATTAGATGTCGCCAATAGCGAGAGCCCAGAAATTCCTTTGAATCCAATTCTGGCCTTTGATGATGAAGGGACACTTGGGCCCCTGCCTCAGGTAGATGGTGTTCAAACACAACAGACAGCAGGTAAGCTTGCCTCGAGCTCCCTTCGGGAACCACATAAGGGAACGAACCTTGTGCAGTGTGACTAGGGCAGCTTTGTTCTTCCAGGGACCACGTGGAAAAGATTGTATAAGGATCACAGAAATTGAATTTTGAGTTGGATTGGGCAAATTCTAGAGCCCCTCCTATTCCCCCAACTAGGTGTGCAAATCCAGTGTGCATCACCCACTGGATGTCCATCACCTTCTCCTCACAGAGCAGTCCTCACTGCCCAGAAACACACACTGTCAGAATATCCTTCATATAAAGAAAGCATTTAATGCCCCACCATAACCTAGGGACCCTCGGGCCTAGTTCTGCCCCCTGGTGTTTGTTTCATCTTTCCCAGCTCTTCAGATATATGAAGACTGCCATCATGTTCTCCCATTTTTCTCTTGTTCAGGTTTAGCAGCTTAGGTGATACACTGTTGTCCCTTTTAAATGTAATAAGACCGTTAGAATTTAGATAAGGAGACCCATATTCAGAACTAGGAGAATATTCATGAACCCAGTGGTCTTCTGTCCTTTGTTGAGTGCCTGTTGCTGTTGTTGAAACGACCAGCGACTCTCTCATACCGTCTCTGGGACTCACCCTTGACCTGAAGTCTTTGTGCAAAAAGAACAATAGCTTTGTGTGACCCAGAGAAATAAGGAGCAACATCAAAAGTTACCAACTCAAGAGTCACAACAACTCAACAGCACAATCTCATCAGTCTCAGAATTAGGTGGAATGATCTCAGCTCTGGTTCTTCTCAAACCTCTTTGAGTTCTGTCAAGTTTCTCTTCCCAGCAGATCACTTTCATGTATGGACTAGCATCTCTTTATACTATTATGAACAGAGCTGGCCAAATTCAGCATGTTTAAACGGAGTCAGTGCAGAATTATTTGTGGTCAAGTTGTTTTGTCTTTCAGATTTCCATCTGTGAACTTGTAACTCCTATTTTCCACTTTAATTGGCTGGAAAAGCCAGTGTTGAGCACCTGTCCAAATGAAGCTAGGCTTTTTTCCTTCTCTAATAGACTGACCTTGGGAGTCTAACTTCACTTTACGATCCCCTTCTTGTAGAAGGAAGCTATACGGCCTGTCCCAGATCTGACGTCCTCATTCTTAAGACTCTGGGAATAATCTGATGATTTGTATGTTAGTGGAAACACTCCTGGTGCAGCTCCCTACCTCGTCATGTTCCAGATTCACAGAGAGGCGAGGGACACCCAGATGACCTTCTGTGTCACATAACAGGCCTTAACTCACCTTTTGATTTACCTGTCATTCCATTCTCACTGTTACTGCCCTTCTGTAACTTCTGTAGGAACAGAGTCAAGTGTCTGTGATCTTAAGCGGTGTCAGGGTTCTTTTAGGGGTCATGACTGTTTTTCAACAAACATTTATTTAGCCATATGTTTGGAGCCTGAAGCTTCAGGTGATGAGGATATAAGACCAATGAACGTAAGTCTCTAACATCAAGGAGAGTACAACTGATGTATGTCATTTAGAAAAGTAAATGATATAGCCTAAATTGAAGGTAAAGAAAAGGACATGTGTTTTCCTGCTAGTGGTAGAGTTCATTAAAATATAAGATTCTGATGAAATCACCTATTCTTATATAAGACAATGTATAGAAAAGCATGGCAAAGTTTTAGAAATGTAAGATATTACCGTAGTATTCTTGAAACAAAATGTTAGATAAATACTAAATCTGTTGTTTTTTCTGTCTCCTAATATAGAAGTTATATGAGCATTTCTTCTGAAGAACCAAAGCAGAAATTTAAAAAGAATTTCTACAATTAATGGAATTCCTTCCATGCTATAAAGGAGCATCCCCCTCCTCCAGTTTTCTAAAGATTTCTTGACCATCATTTTGAAAAGACTTTATTAAAACCAGCTAAAGACAACAGACTGGATAGCTTTTCTAATAATTTTCGCCAATAGAGAAAAAAATGTTCCTTGTTCTTCAGTACTTTAAAACAGCTTTTTCCAGTGTGCTCCTTCTTAGCAAATCAATATTTTTCTGCATTCTCTAAAAGATGAGATCATTTGGCTATTAAAAAAAAAATGGGCTGACTAGGCATGATTTTTCATATAAATGTGTTGGTCTTTAAAAGCTAACATAAAATTGGCACAAAAAATTTACCTTTTACAATGTAATACTTGAAAAATAAGTACCTCTTTGTTCTACAAGTAGAGTGACTAGGAGAGGTGTTTAAATTAAGCCTGTTTAAATATTACTGCAAAGAGTTCTATTTGTAGAAGCAAACTGTAGGCAGATTACCAGGTTCTTGTAAATGCAATTTGTACATGGACATTCTGCAAACCCAGCTGTCACATTCTTGCATCTCTTTTTGCAAAAACATACTAAACAGTTTTAAAATGTGAAAAAGAAACATTATTTTTTCAGAGCAAGGAAATAGACTGTCCTCTTAAATAATGTATTTATAGTTTTTCCAGATAAACTAATCAAATAAATTAGAACAACGTGACAACATTGCAAACTTTGATTTACTGGATGCATTCCTTATGTTACCATGAGAGAATGTTTGTGATGATTCAGGGCTATTTCTGACGTCTGTACATTGCTGCTGTCCCCAGTGATGGTGGGACTTACCTTTGCCTTACCTGATCACAAATTATGTGGGGGGAGGGAGTAAAGATTTACTATTTCTTTAAATAAAAAAAGAATTTGGTTTTGCTCGTTTAAGAGCAAAGAAGACCTGATGGAATGTTGACTATGTTTGGCGCACAGAGCACTGTGCAGGACCCCTTCACAAACCTCCTCCTTCTGCGTGGCACCCATCAGCTCTGACTTTTCACTCTTCACTTTTACTGCTGAGCTTAGCTGTGCAAACTTGCACTTTCATTTGCTAATATAATTCAGTTTTATTTTACCATTTTAGAAACTACTAATAACTAAATATTAAAGGAGAGGGGGCTCTGAAGGAACACTTTTTTTGTGTGTGTGTGGAGTGTTTGGAAAGGTAAACGTGTAGCAGTATAATATGTTGGTTTTATTAAGAGGGATTGGTTAATCTATATTGAATGAGAAACTTCATTTATTAAAATCCAAGCTATAGTAACAGCTGTAATTTGTGAAAACATTAATTTGGGGCTTTTCCCTATTCTCAGTTGTCCATGTACGCATAGTCATATTAAAAAAAAATCTGTTCAACAAAGTTGTTTTATTTGTTTAAGTCGACCTAGCACAAAACACCAAATAAAAATGTGTTTGACATAGTTTTACTTTTAGGTTTCTCATATGTTACAACTTTACTCCGATTGAGTCTTGAGTTTTCAAATTGCCCTTCATTCAATCTCAGTAACATTTCCCCAGCTTCCTCTGAACGGAAATATAGGTTTATTTAGAACAATAGTTCTATTTTGGCTAGGTTTTCTTGGTTTCATTTATATTTGTGAATTTGAGCCATCATTAACAGACTGAAAGCCTTCTAAGTAATCAAGTTTTAATTAAAAGTGATAAAAAGTTAACTATATTTTATTTTTTTAAGATTTTATTTATTTCAGAGAGAGCATGAGAGAACATGAGCAGGGAGAGGGGTTAGAGACAGGGAGAAGCAGACTCCCTGCTGAGCAGGAAGCAGGACAAGAGGCTTGATCCCAGGACCCTGGGATCATGACCTGAGCCAAAGGCAGATGCTTAACCGACTGAGCCACCCAGGCACACGTAAAATTAACTATATTTTAAAAACAACATTACCAGAGGATGACCTGGACCTTTACAATGGCTTGATTGCTTTCTCTCCAGCTCCTAAATGTCAGTATTCACCCCGCTGATCATAAAGAGATCTTTAGTAGGTACTACATCAAGGGCAGTGCTCAGGGATCAGATATGATCCTCAGCATGGAATGAGGGTGGATGGGCTTTTAGTTTCTTTGTCACACCATTGTAGACTGTCTAGGCCAATGCAGTCACCAATCACAAGTTCATTTGGTAGAAGAGTGGCCCGCTTTTCCTGGAAGGGGTAAGGCCATATGTCTCCTCTTGCCTAACCGTGTTCTCTGGTGGTATATTACCATAAAAGCAAATCTAAAACAGAGTTCTTGCACGTGAACATGTTTATGCTTATTAGCAAGCAGGGCCTTTGGCAAGCTTGGATAATTCCTTCTCTGCTCATAATCCCACAGACACCTCGACCAAAAGATTCATAGTAAAGCAGAAGCAGTAATACTATGAAGGCAGAAGTAACCCGATTGAAACAGGCAATGCAATCTTAAATGTCTGGGGGTGGGGGAAGGATGGCACAGGAGCAAACAGCTCTAGAGCTGAAGTACTAATCAAAAGTCTTAAACTTGCAGGGTCTGCCATATTCTTATACCTTGTTTGATGTATTTTGCCTCTATCTTTCTAGGCAACCACTTACCTTTCAAGTTCCATTCACTAATAAAAAATTACTAACCTTCCTTATGCTGATTAACACTGGTGTAGGTTTAGATGACAATATTTAAAGCACCCAGCCACCAGATTGGAGTCCTTCGAATGCTATCTGACCTAGCCCCAGGGTAAGACTAAAGTTACATGGACATGTACATCACAAAGTTGATACTAAAGCATTTTGGAGTTAAATTATTGCATATTAAAATATAACAGACACCAATAAATTGTCCCATCTTTTGCATTTTTTTAAAGATTTTATTGAGAGAGAGCACAAGCTAGGGGGAGGGGCAGAAGGACAAGCAGACTCCCCACTAAGCACAGAGCCAGATGTGGGGCTAGATCCTAGGACCCTGAGATCATGACCTGAACCAAAGTCCACTGCTTCACCGAGTGAACCACCCAGGTGCCTCTTGCATTTTCTTGATGGATGGAAATTTGACTCTTGGCCTACATTCGATTGTGCATAGAACATGAAAAGGCATGATGAGACGGCTATCGGATCAAGTTACAAAAAGCAATTAAAAAACTTCTAAAGATGCTCTTTGAAAAGATTTCATGCCCTCCACCCAACTCCTGTTTTTACTCAGCAGACACCTAAGCCCGCTCAGAAGTACTCAAGATTGTCATTTTGTTACATCCTTTGGTACCTCATTAGTTTGGGGGAGAAACTCCAAAGACCTTGCAAGAAGAGAGAGAAAAGGATCAGCATGTGAACAGAAGGTGCAATTTTAAATTATTACAAATAAAACATTTCATTAGTAACTATTCCCTTGGTGACTATTGGGTTTTTATGTTGAGTACAATTTTAGAAGTCAAAAGTACTTTTAGTAATTAGTGCCAAGATTGGTAACATTCAAAAGAGAAAAACATTTTGATTCCTGTTTAAAAATATACACGAAAAAAGTAGTGGTACTGACGACCACTTTTGAATTAGTGGCTCTCTAACACCTTACAGAAGACTGAAAGGAAAGGGTAAGAAGGGACCTAATGTCGAAAGTGATAGAGGAATGGGAAAGAGCCAACACCTGGTATTACAATAGGTCTGAAGACCAGGTCTGCAATGATGGGCAGCATGAGGCTTGGTAAGTTGCCTGTGTGCTCGGGGTCTGGATTTCTTAACCTGTATGTGGTAGAACAGTGCCCATCTCATTGGGTTGTCTTAGTGGTTATCAAGGATTGAGAGTAAATGTAAGTTTCTGACACATGGTAATTGTCCAGTAGATGTTAAGTGTTTTGGTCTTTATTTATTTTTAAAGATTTTATTTATTTGACAGAGAGAGACAGCGAGAGAGGGAACACAAGCAGGGGGAGTGGGAGAGGGAGAAGCAGGCTTCCCACCGAGCAGGGAGCCCGATGCGGGGCTCGATCCCAGGACCCTGGGATCATGACCTGAGCCGAAGGCAGACGCTTAACTGACTGAGCCCCCCAGGCGCCCCTGTTTTAGTCTTTAGTCTGAGATCCTTGTGGTAGGCGGGACCCTGCCCCGGAAGGTGGGAAACCTCACTTTTTCCAACAGTGGCCTTGAGTGCCACTATGCTTCTTTGTTTTTTGGTTTTTGGTTTTTTAAAGATTTTATTTATTTATTTGACAGAGACACAGCAAGAGAGGGAACACAAGCAGGGGGAGTGGGAGAGGGAGAAGCAGGCCCCCCACTGAGCAGGGAGCCCAATGCGGGGCTCAATCCCAGGACCCTGGGACCATGACCCGAGCTGAAGGCAGACGCCTAACAACTGAGCCACCCAGGCGCCCCGCCACTATGTTTTTTTTAATAAGTTGCCTGTTCCAAGTGTTACACCACGCAAACTAAACAGATGAGGATTCATTTGTCTAGAACAGTATAACATCTTTGGAGTTTCTAACCATTTTTGAGTTGTGACCAATTACTATTTAATTTCATAATTTTCCCTCCTTCCTCTGCCCCTCCCACAATGTTTTCTTTCCAACAAGAATTACATTGTTACGGGCGCCTGGGTGGATCAGTTAAGCAACTGCCTTCGGCTCAGGTCACGATCCTGGAGTCCCGGGATCGAGTCCCGCATCGGGCTCCCTGCTCAGCGAGGAGCCTGCTTCTCCCTCTGACCCTCCCCCCTCTCATGTACTCTCTCTCATTCTCGCTCTCTCAAATAAATAAATAAATCTTTAAAAAAAAAAAATTACATTGTTACTTCATATTCTTATATATACACGGAGGCACTTCTTGACATCCTCTGACACAATTAGACTGGTCTTGTTGGCTGCGAAGCCAGGGATGATTAAATATTCCTCCGGAAGCTGCTGTCAAAGTTGGGCAACCCCCAGGAGGTGCTTGCAGAGCCTGGAGCACAGGAAGTTTGTAGAGCTGTGCGAGGAGCTCGAGAGCTAAGCACATCATGTTCAGACCTTATCTAACGACTCCTTTTCCTCCCCACGTGGAGCCGCCTGACCAAAAGATGCCAGAGAAGAGGTGGATTCGGAAGGTAAGAATTTGGAGGCCCTTGTCAGATTTGAAGGTCAGGAAGGGCATCCCTTGGTGTGTTCCATTGCTCATTCCTTCTCGGGGCAGAGGGTGGGGGGCTGTTGACAGGAATTTGCCTCTTCGCACTGAGCTGCACCTGTCCGGTGCCGTGACTGATGTTGCCAACCGACAGGCTCTCCAGCTGGAATGTCAGTGTCCCAGGCTTTTGGATGTTGGGATTTAATTGGGGGAGGGTTGGAAAAGGTAAGTGGGGAACTGACATCAGTGACTGACCTCCTCAATTTTGCCAGGGTAAGAACAGTAAAAATAAAACCACTCTCAAGGCCACTCTCAGTGGCCCATGCGTCAGGTCACACATCTGAGGACACTCTGGGACAAGGTATGTACCTTTTCTTCGCTGGATTAAGCTGTTACCACGGTAGCTGGCTCGATAACACTCCATTCTTTGGTTGTCTTTCCTTCCTTGTCTCCTGTCTCCATTCCCTTCAAGGAGCTCCCTTTACCATCCAGATAAACTACTTCTACTCCATCCGTGCTATAGGGTCTGCTTCCAAGGAAACCAAAACTGAGGTGATGCTAAGGTCTATTAGCATGATTTTATAAAACATTTTATTTCCTAGAAAGTAAAAACACAGCTCTTGTTCGTAAATAGGTGAATAAACGTAACTTGGAAAACCCACTCTGGTGTTCTCATTCTCGTTTTGTCACACCGGTCAGTGAAAAATATTCTCGGCATAATTCAGTTCTAACCATGTATGAATGAACAGTAAATGTGCTTTAATTTCTGGGTGGATCCAGGCCTGCGATCATCCATGATGACCCAAGCATTTCCATCATTGTCCCGGCTGTTTCTGTTCAGGCGGGTGGTTCCCAGCTGTTGAATTCTGTTTCCTCACCTTCGCACTTATGTCCCAGATTCTTCTTAGTGAGGTCTCGACATGTTTTTGAACACCCTGCTCTTCTTCACAGTCCTCAAAGCCTCTCCGAACCCCCACAGCACGGTCTGCGCTATGACTGCCAAGTTCTGGGGGAGTTGGAGTACTGAATTTGTAGCATTTTCTGCAAGAATCTTTTTAAAAAATCTAATAGACAACCTTTCTAACAACATGCTAAACTCAATATTATCAAGTACTTTTAAAAATTAAATTGCTGGGGCGCCTGAGTGGCTCAGTCGTTGGGCGTCTGCCTTCGGCTCAGGTCATGATCCCAGGGTCCTGGGATCGAGCCCCGCATCGGGCCCCCTGCTCCGCAGGGAGTCTGCTGCTCCCTCTCCCACTCCCCCGGCTTGTATTCCCTCTCACGCTGTGTCTCTCTCTCTCTGTCAAATA